AGCTTGAATCTCTACAGATAGCGACGCCATCAACGAGAACATATGTGCTTCTTCTTGCATCAACTTCCTTAACTGTCTAGTGGACAACAGACTATCTTCCTCTTCTTCAGGAGTAGAAAACCTCACAGACTTGTCATAACAGTTAATGTGAACATAGTTATGCTCTAACCAGTTCATACACAAAATCACATTCAACCCTCTTAAAGGCAAACAAACCAAATCAACAGCAAAGTCTCTGTCAAAGATCGAAAAGGGACAATTTAAGCACACAAAAGAAGTAGTCACTGACCCCTTGGCTGGAGTGTCGACGACCATTTCACCATTCACAGAAGATAACATAAGACCCAATCTTTCAACATAATCAGCATCAATAAAGCAATGAGTAGCACCGGTATCAATAATAGTAATTAAAGGAGTACTATTAATTAAACATGTACCTCTGATAAGTCTGTCCTCAGCAGCTGTCTGATCCTCAACCAAAGCGAACACTTTACCACTTGTCTGCACCCTCTTTGGTTTCTGACACTGACTACTAATGTACCCTTCTTCACTACAATTGAAACAAATCACATCCTTATGCTTGCACTCAGATACAACATGTCCAGTCTTACCACAATGGAAACACCTCATTACCTCAGCAGTACACACATTTACTCTTATGCCCAGGTTTTCCACATTTAAAACAAACCACACCAGCAGGAGCATCTCCCCAACTAGTCCTCTGACCCTGAGCAAATTTCTGTTTACCTTTACCAGGTGGGGTATCATAAAGCTTACCACGATTATGTTGTTGCTTACTTCTCTTCTCACTGATAATCTTATAATGAGCATTATTATCATCCTCATAAATTCTGCAACTATCAACCAAATCAGCAAAGACACAGATCTTCTGGTATCCAACTGCCTTCTTGATCTATGGGTGCAACCCATTCCCAAACTTGATACACTTTGAAAACTCAGCATCTGTCTCACCGTAGTGCAAATAAAACTTATCCAACTCAGTAAACTTTGCAGCATACTCAACAACTGACATACTCCCTTGCTTCAGTTCAAGGAACTCAATCTCCTTCTTACCACAAACATCTTCAGGAAAGTACTTCCTCAAAAATTCCCTACGGAACACAGCCCAAGTGACATTTTCACCCGCAACTTCCAATCTCTGACAAGTCTCTAGCCACCAGTCATCATCCTCGACTGCTAGCATATGAGTACCATATCGAACCTTCTGCGCTGGAGTGTAGTCCATCACACGGAACATTCTCTCAATCTCTTTCAACCAACCCAATGCTCCGTCAGGATCATACTTTCCCTTGAAGGTAGGCGGATTCTCTCTCTGGAAAGTCGCCAAACTACGAGATCCAACATTCCTGTCAGCATTCGGCTGATTCTCCATCGCATGCGCCATTGCTTCTAAAGTAGCAGCAAGTGCAACATCATTCCTTCCATCCATCTCAACTTATCACTATAACATAAACAACGGTTAGAACTCAAATTAGCAATTCTCGATTGTTAGACAACTACGACTCGACAACTTGGTCAGATGGACCAACCTTTTGCTCTGATACCAACTTTGTAACACCCCAATTCTACCCGAAAATTATAAATGTAAATCAGAGTTATAAAATTCATGCAACTGAATCAGGATGCCACAAATTCAACTAAAAAAAACACATTGCATTCAACACGGATACATAAAACTTTAAAACTTTGGATGAACCAACAGCAGAATAATTTAAACTCTTAATTTAACAACTTGAATAACTACGCAGCGAAATCATAATAACATATGTGTCCAACAATTACAACAACTTCAAAATAACATATAATTAAAAACAAACAAATTAAAGTTCAACAACTGGAACAATCACTAGTTAAAAGCAACAAGTGTTCGTCCCCCCGAGTTTTACGTATCAGAGTAATAACACTGACTCGAACTACTGAAGGTAAACCACATTCACTTTGTATTACCTGCACGTTACCAACGTAAGGGAAACATTCAAACAGAAGGGGTGAGATATCTAACAATATAATAAAACATATGATAAATAATATGTTAGACTAGCTCATAATAACACCACTTCACATCTTATAAACAACTATAAACGTAAGGGAACATCAACAACATACAACATTACCGCATCAATACACAACTTCTTTACGCAATCAGATAATGTGACTCAATACTATGTAAATGCATGTGGTACCATTGGAGCAGAACTCCCATCTCAAAATAATTGCCAATAAATAGAGGCATCAACAAGGCATAAGCCTTCATCTTAATATTCGCCAAATACAGACCATCTTAACGAGCATCAACTCCATCTTGATATGTAATGTATGCGACACAATCATGAATGTAGTAACCATAACCACAATTAGCAACATCTCAACACAACATCATCGTTGGCCAGAAGCCTACATATTAATAGCTACCACTTATTAGAGGCATCTCGACATCATTCATCAACATTATTCATCACATAATTTCATCAACAACTCAGCTATAACAACAATACAACGACAGATCAACAATCTCTCAATGTTGGTCATAGGCCTACAACACGACAATGCCTATATTTAGTTAATCATCTAAGGCTTATATCTAATTACCAAACTTATACATATTATTATTCTGCAATACTACGTCATTATCATCATTAATCTTACTGTTATGAACCAAGCAATAATCTATAATCATCTTGTCCTCATCATACTTCACAAAATCATCATAGCGATTAACGCGGGAAACTAACTCTAATCCTAATTTGGGTTGCTAGGATTTAATCTCCTTATCCTTCATTTTAATCCTTAAGAATTAAGTTCATCGCGTTAGCTATCTAACGCTTCGAACGGCACCTCAAACGGAGTCCGGAAACTCAAGTTACAGCCTTTGGAAGAATCTGTCAAAAATCAGACTACATAGGTCGACGCATAATGTCTTGAGTCGACGCATACTGGGCTAACATCCTACATGAGTCGACGCGTAATCCCTTTGTATCGACTCATACTGAGTCTGCAACACCGCATGTATCGACGCATGCTCCTTCGTATCGACTCATCCTGAGTCCAAAAACCCGCATGTATCGACGCATGACCTTTGAGGTCGACTCATATTGTTCTGTCATAAATATTTTCTGCGATTTCATTGCGATTTTCCTGCCTTAGGCCCTAAAAATATCCTCTAATCATAGATAATCATCAATTATAATAATCCTATGTTTCTACATCAATTATACAGCATTAGGACATCATTATTCATCTCTAAATCATTGATGCTCATCAAACAATATATATATATATATATATATATATATATATATATATATATATATATATATATATATATATATATATATATATATATATATATATATATATATATATATATATATATATATATATATATTATTTATTTATTTATTTCAATCATAAACAAAACAACCTTTCACATCTAACCCCACATACTAATCATCATAAACCATATTATTGAGTCAGAACCCCACCCTTACCTTGGATTGAAGGTTGCTCTATAACTTTTTTCGGTTCAATTCCGTTCTGGCTCTTCTTCTTCTTTTCTGCAACTTTCACGTTCTCTTTCTCTTCCTCCAACCCTTATTTCGTTCTCTTCTTACTGCTGCTTCTTTTTCATATTAATTCTAAATAACTAATATAATAATTCTATAATTCTCATTATGTCTTAATGGACTTAAAACTCCTACACCCCCTTTCTACTACTTCTAGTCCTTAAAATAAACTCACATCAAATAATATTATTATTCTAATACTATTCCACAACTTAATAAAATAAATAAATCCAATAACAATAACACATCAACTATCATCATAACATAACTTCACAAATATTCCAAAAAAATAATTTAATTAAATAAATTACGGGCATTACAAACAGCATCTCTAAACATGCTATGAGCTCGCTAAACCCACCTGCAACAAAGCTTTTTCTCCAAAATTGCATGTTGAAGTTTTTCTTTGCCTTTTGTACCCAAAAATGCTCCAATATACCTACAAAATAAGTTAGAATTGATTAAAGGTTATGATTTAGAATGAGTTAAAAAAGCGTACTCTTCGAGTAAGTTGAACCTTACTTTTATAATATTGTGAAAAATAAAAATATAATAATAATTAACATTCTTTTATCATTTTATACAAAATTATTCTTTCAAAAATTATTGAATATTTTTCTATACTTAAAAAAAAAAATCGTTTTCAAATGTCTTTTCTTCTCCTTCCTACAATCTCTCCCAACAAAACCTTAAATAAATATACGAATAATTGTGTATATAAAACAAATAGAGAGCTAACAATAATTAACTTTATATTTCTAATATGGCCCGCGAGTTGAAAAGATCTTCGACCAAATACATATTATTAACAATTAAAGAAATACATTCAAATGTGAATTTAGTGAAATGTTAAAGTTTCATGGTAAATATCATAGCTTTAATACAATGTTAGGAATTTTGACAAAGATAGTGGAAATTGAAAATGTATATGTTAAAGTTTCATGGTAAATATCATAGCTTTAGTACAATGTTGGGAATTTTGACAAAGGTAGTGGAAATTGAAAATGTATAATTGAAGATAAGTTTTGTATTAATATAAGTAAATATATCGATAAAAATTATTAAAAATGAATAATTTCAAGTAACTTTATATTCCTAATATAGTAAGAAGAGCATTCCACTTCATTCTATTTACACACTAAGATATATTAATTCAAACAAATCAATCTCAATGTTTACTAGTGAGAGCTCAATTGAACCAACCAAACACAAAAATTATTGATATTTAAGAAATTCGTCAAAAACTTAAAAAGAAACATACCCTTAAATCTCACATTTTCACTATCAAATTAATCCTTGAAGGTAAAAATATTTGATTTCTCTTTAGTTAAAAAAAGATAAGGAAATTGAGAAAAACGTGATAGCAATAAATAATCCTCCATAACTACTCACTCACAAGACCTTTTATGTTCATAATAACTTGATCTCTCTTTTTCCTCTCAACTATTATCTTCTATTTAAACCCCCAAAACATTACTCAAATCACCAAATCAAAACCACCCTATTCCTCTTCCTATTCACCCCTCCCTCTTCCCAATCAAAAGAATCTCTCACCCCTTCTCTCTCCTACTCACAACTTCCATGTCTTGCCAACCAACATTCACATGTCTTTGTTTCTAGTGAAAAAAATATAAACAAAGATAAAATTATTTCAAACTTTGGTTCTCCACTAACAACTACACTTCTTTTATCCACACACACACCAAACCCATCTTCATCTATAGTATTCACAAGCTGAACAATGAATCCTCTAACTTTGTTGCTTATTTTACCTCTCTTTACTCAGTTTTTGGAAATTGAACCTGCAAAACCAAAAGTTATTGGGAAACCAAGATTTCCTACCTCTCAAATCAGTGTCATGGGTTTTGTTTATTGTGATTTCTGCTCAAATAACACATTTTCTAGACACAGCTACTTCTTGCCAGGTAATGTCAAGTGTATTAGGGTTTGAACTCCGATGATGACGTTCAACCCAATAGTATCTGTGATGCTATTTTTTTTAGTTTACTTAACTATCAGAAACTCTATGATGACGTCTAACCTAATAATATTTGTTACCTGTTGTTGTTCAGGTGCTGAGGTGACAATAGATTGCATGTTCAAGGCAATTTCAGCTAAAACATCAGAACAGATTACACTTTCGGTGAACAGAACAACAAACAAGTATGGAATGTACAAGCTTGAAATACCATCAGTTGATGGAGTGAAATGTGCTGAAGGGTCTGAAGTTATGTCTTCCTGTGAAGCTAAATTGATTAGAAGTTCAACTTCTTCTTGCAATGTTCCTGGCTACAAAAGCACTTCTAATGTGATTTCAGTGAAAGCAAGAAAAACCAATCTCTGCATATATAGTCTTAATGCTTTGAATTTTAGACCATCTAAGAAGGATACTAGTTTGTGTGGTAGTTAATTACATAATTAGCCTTGTTCTTCGGTTACTTGTTAATGTTACCTTCTTTTTTTGCCTCTAGGGGCATATATGTCATTTCATTATCTTTCTCACTTTCTTCACTTTCTTTTTTTTGGGTTTTTATTTATTAAGAAATGTTAATGGATTATGTTAGTTTTCAAGATTCTTAACCTTGAGAAGGTTTTCAAATTTAAAATATGCAATTGCGAAAACAGCGCAATAAAATAGTATCGACAATATCGATAATTTTATTTATTATTTTTATATTAAAAAATAATTGTAGTTAATTTATATCATAACGATCATATTCAGCATTAAATTTGTAAAAAAACATTTTTCTGATTTTTTATACATTAAATCATATGGGCCCTGAAGCCAGTACATAAAAATGTCAGGTCATAATGATAACACTGTCACCTCTGATCCATATTAGTTCCAATTTGGAAGATGGTGATAGTAATTTTTTTCCTAATATTGTTTAGAAGATGGTGATAGTTAACTTTTTCCTAATATGAATTCAAGTACACCAACATACTCCAAAATTCTGCAACAAGTATTTTCGAATCAATACATGATTAACCTATGAATATAGTGCTAGATTATGAGATCATTTCAAATATAAATAAATTTAATTATTTTCATTTTATTTAATATTGTTGTTTCTAATAAAAAAATTATTACTGTTAGTGCAAAGACGATCACTATAGCTTTTGTCGATTAAAATAATAGAATGAAGTTGTAAGAAATTATTTGACTATTTAAAATATTAAGTTATTTAGTAATTGATAAATTAAGTGCATGATAAAACTGGAAGAGAGATATTTACATCAAAACTTATTAATTTTTATATAAAAATATAGTTTTATAAAAATTATAATTATTTAATTAAATAAAGAATGTATGATTTTAAGTAAAATCAATTATTTAATAGATAAATTTGAAAATATGTTTTAACTTTATATATTATCATAAATGTGTTTGAAAACACGGTCTTTTTAGATTAAAAAAATAGTTATTAAATTAAATAATTAAGTAAGAATTTAATTTTTTTATTGAGTAAAGTCAATTGTATTTACTTTTTTTTTTTAAATTAACTTTACACTAGTGAACAAAAAATCATATTTAAATATCTAGTTTTTTGTTTTTGAAAATGAAACGTAAATTGGGTGGGCCAATGCAATGGGTTGAAATGTGAGTAACCTTATTTCTAAAAGAAGTTTACCTGCACGCTCTCAAATAGACCTGATACCCACATATATTTTCACAATATAAAATATATTCTCTTCATTTTTTTCAATTATTACATTTTTTTGTCAAATTTCCTCTAAGTTGAAAAAAATTTGGTAGCTCATACAAAAATATGGTATAGATTTTTACCGGATTAATTGAAATATTCAATGTGTATCAAAAGATTTATCGCATGTTTTGAAAAATCTCATATATTGAATATTTTCCTACACTCTTAAAAATTTGATAGTGATATTTTTGAACAGTTTTGATTGTGCCAAAACTTCTATAAGATTGTGATTGCATCGACAGTTTGTGTGGTCCATATTGATTTAAAACTCGCATAACTATGTCACATATGTTGTTAACAAAAATACCTCAGAATGTCTCAATTTTGACATCTCGCATTTGTGTACTTCAATGCGTGAGTCCTTCTGTTGATTTTAGGCTCACATAGGATACTCCTCTTAATGTTCTGAATTCCAAACTGAATAATCTTTGGCGTTACCCAGACAACAGGAGGATGGTTAAGATTGAGTATCATTCATTGTCAATTGATTACAAAAAAAAGGTGAATTTCAACAACTCTGAGTTGAAGATCAATGAAGATTTAAGAGTTATGTAGAGCACATATCATCGTTACTAAACAAAAGGATTCAATCTAGGTAGATGAGACAGTTATAAGACTTGTCAACGATACTATCAATATGTTGAAACTGTTAAATTGTAATTCATAGTGTCAAAGAAGATTTGATTTATTTTAGATTTAAATAGATTTGATTTAAGTCCAGAATATATTTGATTTGATTTGATTTAGTAACAAAAAGATATTTTGGGCTTTGGGCTTAGGGTGTAAGCTCAATTATAAATAGAGGGAGTAACCCCTATTTTAAAAAGTAAGTCAAGTAAGTCAATTTATTGTAATCACAGAATTTGCAGTTGCAAGTGATTAAGAAAGTTTTCCACAGTTTGTGGGCAGAGAGAAACTCTGCAGAAATATTTGTTTTGTCTTCTTTTCTTTGTTTGTCTCATAATTAAATTGTCATTGTGGTAGAAATTCATCATAGAATTTGGTGGATTTCCAACATCTGGTATCAAGAGCTTTTGTTTCGATTCAAGGGAAGTGTCAATCAAGAACGATTGAAGAATTCACGATGACAAGTTATGGGAATGCAAACTATCCAGCAACGCTATCAATTCTGAAAGTTGACAACTATGAGAATTGGTGCAAATAGATGAAAGTCTTATTCAGGTGTCAAGGTCTTTGGGACCTTGTAAAAGATGGAGTCAAAGCGCTTGGCGAAAACGCTTCAGAAGAAGAAAAGAAGAAATACACAGAATCTGAGAAGCTGAGTTATAAAGCATTATTTATAATTCATCAATGTGTCAGCCCAGACAATTTCGAAAAGGTTAGTGATTCAGAATTTGCAAAAGAAGCTTGGGAGATCCTTGAGAAGTCTTTTGGAAGCGCTCAGAAGGTGAAAGAAGTGAGGTTACAAACTCACAAAAGGACCTATGAAATACTTCAGATGGAAGACAGTGAAAACATATCTGATTTCTTCACTAGAGTTACAAAACTAGTAAATCAAATCAACATATGTGGAGAAGCGTTAACAACAAGAGCTGTTGTGTCGAAGATCTTGAGATCTTTAGCTCCTAAGTTCGACCACATAGTGGTGGCGATAGAAGAGGGGAAAGACTTGTCAAAATTGACAAAGGAAGAGCTTCAAGGGACGCTTGAATCTCATGAACAAAGAATGAACGAAAGAGCTGCAGGAAAATCGAAGAGTGATGTGGCCTTGCAGGCACATTCAGCAAAAGAGACCAAAGGCAAAGAAAAGTGTTTCGACAGAGGTAGAGGTGGCTACAACAAATCGAATGGTAGAGGAAACCAAATCGAAGGAGACGTGTCGAATCAAAGAAGACCATACCAAGGCAACCAAAGAGGTGGTGTTGCAAATAGAGGAAGAGGTGGTGGTCAAAAACTTGATAAGAGTCACATTCAATGTTACAATTGTCAGAAATATGGACACTATTCGAGTGATTGTCCAGAAAAACGAAAGAATCAAGAAAGTGATGCAAAGCTTACAAAACATGAAGAAGAAGAGATGACGTTGATGGTCACAACAAGAGATGAAGATAGATTCAAGGACCAATGGTACTTGGATTCAGGATGTTCATCACACATGTCTGGAAGGAAAGACTGGTTTGTCAATATAAAGCCCTCAAAGAAAAATATGGTAAAATTTGCAAATGACAATACCCTGGAAGCTGAAGGTATTGGTGATGTTATGATTATGAGGAAAGATGGAAAAAGGCCAGTAATCTCCAATGTGTTGTACATACCAGGCATGAAGAGCAATTTGCTCAGTATAGGGCAGTTGGTCGAAAAGAATTGTAAAGTGTCAATCGAAGATAAGTTGATGAGAGTCGTTGATGCAAATGGGAGAGTAATCTTGAAGGCTCCTATGTCTCAGAATCGAACCTTCAAGATTGAACTAAATGTGATGGAGCACAAGTGCCTTTCGACTGCAGCTAGCAGAGATGAATGGATATGGCATTATAGACTAGGTCATCTCAACTTCAGAGACATCAGAGATTTGAAGAGAAGAAATATGGTTTCAGGATTGCCAGAAATTTACATTCCAAACGAGGTATGTGAGGAATGTGTGCAGGCGAAGCAACACAATAATAGCTTCAGCAAGGATGCACGAAGCATATCAAAGGCTAGTCTTGAAGTCATATACTCTGATGTATGTGGACCAATCCAGGTGGATTCGATGGGAGGTAACAAATACTTTGTTACATTCATAGATGATTTCAGTCGAAAGCTATGGACTTACCTGATCAAGAAGAAAAGTGAAGTGATCGAAGTATTTACCAGGTTTAAGTCTATGGTCGAAAGACAAAGTGGTCGAAAGCTCAAAGTTTTGAGAACTGATGGTGGTGGAGAATATGTGTCGAAAGACTTCGACAGGTTATGTGAAAAGGAAGGGATTGTGCATGAGGTGGTGCCACCCTATACTCCACAACAAAATGGAATTGCAGAAAGTAAAAATAGAACCATCATGAATATGGTGAGAAGTATGTTGAAAGGCAAAAGTTTACCTAAAGAGTTTTGGGGTGAAGCTGTTTCGACTGCAACATACATTTTGAACAGATGTCCTATAAAGAAGCTAGAAGGAATTACTCCAGAAGAATGTTGGTCTGGTGTGAAGCCTAGCTTGAGTCATCTGAAGGTATTTGGATCTATTGCACATAGACATGTGCCAGATCAGTTGAGAAGAAAACTTGATGACAAGTCAATTCAAATGATCCGACATGAGGCTACAAGTTGTTCGATCCAAAGAACAAGAAGATTGTGATCAGCAGGGACGTGATCATAGATGAGTTTAAAGAATGGGATTGGACTGCAAATGTCAAGAAAGATTCAGTGGGAATCCTATTCGAAGAGCCAGAAACTCAAGTCGAAAGAGAAGTTCAACAAGAGGAACTAGCAGATATACTAAGTACAAGCAGACCTCAAAGAACAAGACGCATGCCTACAAGATTGCAAGATTGTGTGATTACATCATCTGATGTAATAGATAATGAAGGTGAGCTGGTACATTATGCTTTCTATGCAGATGTCGAACCTGTTAATGCAGCTGAAGCATTAAAAGATTCGAAGTGAGTGAAAGCAATGAACGAAGAAGTAAAGTCTATCGAAGACAACAACACTTGGTCACTTGTCGAATTGCCTCAAGGCAAGAAGGCAATTGATGTCAAGTGGG